GAAGTCCATGGTTGCGGTTTTGCTGCCCCCCCTCCTTACTTCACCAAGAAGCGAGAATTCTATCATTTCATGGTCGCTAAGCCCAAGACGGCCTCCGACCACCACATCTCCCACCAGTCCTTCTCTGTTTGTAAACAGCAGGTCGAGCGAGGCGCCTCCCCTGGTAGGCGCATTTACCAGCTGTGTTAGGAAGTTGTCTTCCACACACTCCAGGAACCTCCTAGACTGCTTCCTCTCTGCCGTGTTGTATTTTCAGCAGATGTCCGGGAAGTTGAAGTCCCCCATGAGAACAAGAGCTAGCGATTGAGAGACTTCTGCCAGCCGCTTATAGAACGCTTCATCCGCCCCTTCATCCTGGTTGGGTGGTCTATAACAGACTCCCAGCAGGATATCTGCCTCGTTGGCCTTAAGTTAAGCAGTGTTGGTGAATTTATTTAGACGTTAAAATAGCTTCACTATAACCCTGAACATTAACTGAGAGTGTAACATGCACGTTGTCAACTTCTGAAACCAAGATTGTATAGAGTTAAAGATACCTGGAGTTTAACAGAATCACTTGACAAAGGGTAAAGAAATATGAATGACTGCTGGAAGGATTTCCCTGGGTTTTCATTACCTCATTATAGAGACGGAATTTTCTGTGACTTCCTATGCTGGTTTGCAATTGCGAGGCACCAGCCCAGGCCAGCCAGCAGTTGTAGGGACAAGGCAGTCAAGTTAGTGGGTCCGATCAGCCAGATGGGAGGCCAGGCAAAGGCTGCAGTGCAGCTCAGACCGGGACCAAGGCCAAGGGTGAGCTTAAATGCTGTTGCCGAGTGAAGGCAGGAGCCCCCACTGTGGCATCTCGCAGCTCTTCCCCCACAGCTCATTTCACAGCAGGCTGATCTAAGGTTACACAGCTGCACAATATCAGAGCTGGCCTGGGTGTGGGGAGCTAACAATAGTCATGTTCAAAAAGTATTTTTCAATAGTGTGATTTTTTTTTTAATACAGTGAGTATATAAAAGTTTAAGTTAAGTAGTTTAACCTGAAAAAAGATTTTGTCGGTTCTGATACCCAGAAGCAAATCAAACTGGTACCAGGCACAATGCCAGTAAAGTCATAGCCAGGATAAGAACAAATCAGCTGAACATGCTTATTGGAGATGCATTGTGAAGTGCTTCTTACTCACCTCTAATTCCAGATTTAAGACCAAAATGATGATAATTTTGCTCATCTTCTGGGTTATTTTGCCCTCAGAATTAATCTTAAAACCAGTTCTTCTCTATAATATCCTTCCTCTATCAGACCTGTTCTAACATGCTTGTGCCTTCTCACTTCCATGCTACTCAGAGGTACCACATTATCTCTGAAATCTTCAAAGCCTCCACATGACCATTCTCTTGTGTTTTTACATAGCACCAGATTACCTTTCTCTATCATCTTGTAACTTTCTAGGTCCCTTCCTAACAGGACCTATTGCCTCCCTTGTGTCAGAGTAGAATTAATTTCATGTAACAAAGCCTTGTTCCAAACTGGCATGTCAGAGAGCTTCTTGCATAATAGCTGGAAAAGCAAAGTCAGTGACCATGCAGGATAATACAGAATAATCCTGAACACAGCTAAATGGAAGGCTGTTGAGAAACATGTCCTATTCCCTTTTCAGAGAAAAGGTGGGTTGTTTCCCCCCCGCCCTGTTGTTTTGGGGGGTTTGGGGTTTTTTTTTTAAGTCCTCTTCATGTATTCCAGGCATGTCATGTTATGAGTTACTAAAAGAAGAGGAAGCTGCCCACTTATTTCTCGTAAAACCAGAGAATTTCCCCAAAAGATCATCTCTGAGCTTTAGATGTGTGCAGACATGGAACTACTGAATGAGTGCATCCTTTAACCTCCATACCTGAATGCTTTGCTTTGTGAAGGGGAGGCTGTAATTGGAGCATTTAAAACAGTGTCACTACTGTAGCTGTCATTCTGTATACTGATGTGAGCTTTCACTGAATACCTTGCATTATTTAATCACAAGGTAGAACAGACTTCCTGTATCATAAATGGCTTCTAATTAGCTGTAAGACTTCTGTTCCTTCCATATGCAATGGGAACATTTTAGTTCTGTGTTACCAACTGTTGAAATTTTATTTTATCTGTGACATTCAATGCTTTTGTTAATGTTCCAGACCCTTGAGTTACTTACAAAGTGATGTTTTCTTCCTTTTATGCCCTTCCTCCCCTTGTTCCTTTCCTCTGCATACTCCTGTGAAGTGTTTCTGAGAATATTCTTCTCCTGCTAGATCAAATGTGTGATATTTTGAATGCTCAAAGATGGGAACAATACCTATAGCAGACTTTGGAGCCTAGTCCTCTTGTTCTTTGCAGATTGTTGATTGCAGATCTTGCTGCTGGTAAAATATTAAATTGCATTTCAGTGCCCTCTACTGGCTAGGTGATCCTATTCAGCTCTGGCGTAGGGGGAAAAAAGTGCCCACTAAAAAGCCACCATCTTTGTTACAGCACTGAAACTAACTCGGAACAAGGTGGAGATATGCAGAAATTTGTTATTTTGAGTATATTTACTATACTGCTGTCTTCACTGGATCGTACATGATAGTGAATGCTTAGGAAGTTGTAACTTCATTTGTTTATTCTCTCTTGCAGTTTCGACGATGCCTTTTGCAACTCCTGTGCTTTCGCCTAATGAGATTCCAGAGGACTGTGAAAGAGACACCAGCAACAGGGAATGACAAACCAGTACGACCAATAGTTATGTCTCAGAAAGCAGGGGACAGGCCAAAGAAGAAAGTGACTTTCAGCTCTTCCTCTGTCATTTTTATTATCACCAGTGATGACGCTCAGCAAATAGATGACAACAGTAAACACAATGGGACAAAAGTAAATGTCATCCAAGTAAAGCCGCTATAGGGATGAGCTAAAGAGACATGAGAATGAGATGGACTTCAGCCAGCAGACTGTTTAGGTTGGAGACCGGTTTCAGTGGTGGTGTCTGTGGGCTGCCAAAGGAAACCACATTCTTAAGCTGTGAAATACTGAAGGGATTCTGCATCTGAAGCTCTGCAGGCAGTTCAGTTTTGGTCACAGTACTGAAATGTCTGCATCTGTGCCAAAATTGCTGATGGATGTCTTTACTCTGAATTTTCTTAAAGCATATTGTAGGATTGCCATTCAGGAGAACTTGGTCAGGCTGGAGGAATGCGCTGACAGAAATGTTACAAAGTTTGCGCTTGCCCTTGCTGAAGTCCTGCACTTGGGAAGGAAGAATGATGCTGCAGCACAGCAGGCCGGGCCCTGGCTGCTTGGGACGCAGCTCTGTGGAAAAGGATGTGGGGTCCTGTTGGTCAGTGAAGCAGGCATGAGCCTGCGGTGTGCCCTGGCAGCAAGGAAGGACACCAGCATCCCAGGCTGTACTGACAGGGTCGGAGCTGGTAGTCTGAAGCAATTCGGCCCTCATTAGACCACATCTAGATACGGCATCCAGTTTTGGGACCCCAACACAAGAAAGACATCTGTAAACTGGGGTGAGTTCAGTGGAGTCCCCCAAGATCGTCAGCAGTTGGAGTACTTGGCCTGTGAGGAGAGGCTGGGGAATTGCACTTGACCAGCCTGGAGATGAGACATCTTTGGGGAACCTAATAGCAGTCTTCCAATAGAGATGGGGAGGTTTTCAAGAAGATGGAGCCAGACTCTTCAGGGTGATGCATAGTGGAAGGATCAGAGAGAACGAGCATGAACTGAAACGAGACATTTGGATGGCATATGAGGAAAAGCTTTTTTACTCTGAGGACAGCCAAGCAGTGGAACAGGTCAGACTAGAGACTTCCTGAGGTTCCTACCAGCTTGAGTCATCTTGTGATCCCTGAACTGCTAGCACTCCTAGTGCACAGAGTTATCAGGGAAGAGGGAGGAACGTTTGAAGTTTGGCTGCAGTTTAGTTGGTCTGATTTGGCGCTTTGCAGGGCAGGGGGTGGGAGAAGTGATGTTGACAATGACTGGGACTATAGTTAAACCAGAAGCCACCAGAAAGCTGTCCCTGTGTACCTACCAAGCCGTTCTCTTAGTGCTAGCTGATGGGACTCCTGAGCTACACAGTGAAGAAAATCATGCAAATCAAAGCACCAATGAAAAAAGGTCAGTGAAAAGGAAGAATCGGATTGTTTTTTTGTTACAATGCATGCTTCATGCATCTTTATCTTGCATCTGTTTATTCTGTACATGGACCAGGACTGTCATCCTATATTAATCTTCAACCTGCTCTGGCACTTTGGTCTAACAGTTAGAGAAGAGCAGTTGCAGTGTGAGTAATGGTTCTCCTACTTGGATCTCAGTAAACGGAACAGATAGATTGTTATTTTTTTCCCTCACCTTTAAGTGTTGCTGCTACAAATGGCGACAGGATTCTGCCCCAGACACGGCTGCCTGTCATCCAACTTATGGATGCATAAGTTGGAGAACTAATTTTGAATTACGGCAGCTGATTCTCTACCGCGTTCATTGCACCGGTGTAATTTTTCTGCCTCAGTCTGCTAAATGGGCGGTGTGGATCTGCAGTATGCAGCTTTTCCATCTCTGTGAAAGCTGTAAGAAAAGCAATTAAGAAATTATTTGCTTCCTCTGGGGACAAGTCTTCTGAGAGGTATAAAGGGAGCATGCTGAATAACTGTTGGCACCAGTAGCCATTGGTCCTGCAGTCAAGAATAAAACTTAAAAATTAAATAGAAAAAATCAGGGTCTAAATGTAGAAGCTTTCAGCTAGTTCCTGAGAGTAGGGAGTGACCTTAACTGAGAACAAGTGACTGACTGTGCTTGTGCCTGTGCTTTTCAAGAGGAAACTCCTTATATGTGTACCCCTCTAGAGCTTTAGCACTGGTAATCTGGCTCTGTCATGTTTAAAAGTGCATCCAGAGTCTACTGTGGTTTCTAGATTATATCATATAATCTGAGAGAAAACAGATGATAAATACTTGTCTTTGTCTCTTTCATATTTGTTATTTTGGTTTTGCTACAAATGCATAGATACATTGTCTTACCATGTCAAAGATCTGCCCTTACTAAAGCATGTTCATTGCAATGTCAAGAACTACGTTTTCAGCCAATGATCACTACATCTATGCACATTTATATTTACAAAGGAAGAAGGATGTACTTAGCATTCCATGTAATGATTCCATTCTTTTAACAAAATGTTTGGTATTTTAGTATTTTCTGTATATTGAGCCTTCAATGATTGATTAAATGTACCTTATTTATATCAATGTGTTCTCAGTGAAATATTTTTTCCCCACTGAGAGGGAGATGGTTTGGTATTGTCACTTGTTGGATACAGCTTGAAAGGTATCATTAGGCACTGAAAAAACAATAGTACTTCAGGATTCCAGCTGAGCTTTTTGTGAAGAGCAAGTATAGGGTCTGTAAAGAAAAACTATCCACTGTTCAGATTTATGAAGGTAAAATTTGAGTAATTAACAGTATAAGATTTTTTTAATAATGTACAACATATTTACTACTACAATACATAGAACGCTAACAATTGTGTAACAATATATGAAAACTAAGCATTAAAAAACAAATTTACAATAATATCTTGGCTACTTAATATCCCTACTGAAGGGACAGGCGAGGAAGGAGAGGCGGTGGGGTGGCTCTGTATGTTAGGGAGTGTTTCGATTGTATAGAGCTCAATGATTGTGATGATGGTACGGTTGAGTGTCTATGGGTAAGGATGAGGGGGAAGGCCACTGAGGCAGATATCCTGCTGGCAGTCTGTTATAGACCACCCAACCAGGATGAAGGGGTGGATGAAGCGTTCTACAAGCAGCTGGCAGAAGTCTCTCAATTGCTAGCCCTTGTTCTCGTGGGGGACTTCAACTTCCCAGATGTCTGCTGGCAATACAACACGGCAGAGAGGAAGCAGTCTAGGAGGTTCCTGGAGTGTGTGGAAGACAACTTCCTGACACAGCTGGTAAGTGAGCCTACCAGG